GTCAGTAGTGCTGGCGCTGCTGATCCCGGCGCCGCTCGAAGAGCTCCAAGCGGGGCTGGGCTTTCACCGGGGTTCGACACCGCAGTTTCGCGAGTCAACGGGACATTCAGTTCAGCAGGCGGGGATGTTTCAGGCCCTGACAAGTACACGCTGCTGCTGCAGAGCTTAGGACTTAGGACCGCTGGCCAAGAGCCTTAGACATGGGTAGCGGTTGGTGCTCATGTCCAGCTGTAATTCCAGAGTTCGAGAACGTCGAGGAGCTGCCGAGGGAAAGCCCTGCCCCCCCCATGTCAGGCAACAGCGACGCCTAATCAGCCAACCCCTGTAGGAGGCACCAGCAGCCTGGGCTCCCCAGAAGCAGGCGCTGGAGGCATGCCGACAGGCCAGGATTGCAAGAGCCCAAATAGGCGCCGCGAGCGTCCAGGTTGTGGCGGTATGGAGTGCGAGTTCTCGAGCTGGAGCTCAGACCAGTCGCTATTAGAGTGGGCTCGCCATGATTGGAAGCCGCCGCTGGCGCACCTTCAGGGGCATCGCCTCAAGGTCAGTGGACAGCTCACGTTGGCGAAGGCGTGGCTGTCCAAGCGGTGTTTTCATAATTCAGTCGGAGCTGCTGAAGCTACAGGAGATGGCATATCCAGCTCCGAGCGGTGCCGTCGCGGCGCGCAGTCGCCAGCTAGCTGCACCGCGTCCCGGCCTTGTGGCATCAGGTTGTCAACGAACAGACTCGCTGACATAACGCGCAACGTGGGGCTGGCGCCGTAGACGTATGCGGTCTCATTGTGGGCGATCGCGTCAGATGGTTTCAAAGGCAACGTTGACGTGCTCACGGAGTTAATGGGTTTCATAGGAGGCCTGTGCGGGTCATGGCTTCCCCTGGGGGGCACGAGCACGTTGCTTGATGAGATCGTCGAGTGTGCCTCCAGAGCTCGAGAGGTCACCCTTCAGACTGGAGGGCCAACTTGCGGGGCGAGGGAGATTGATTTCCCAGTCTGCAGCGAGATGGCCGCCCCTGTCGTTGACGGCGCCGAGGTCATGGACGCACAACCCTATCCAGGTGCACGGTGCTCTTCGGATCGTTCTGCGAGGCCCAGGAGAGCTCCTCCTCCTCCTCCTCCTCCTCCTCCTCCTCCTCCTCCTCCCCCTCCTCCTCCTCCTCCTCCTCCTCCTCCTCCTCCTCCTCCTCCTCCTCCTCCTCCTCCTCCTCCCCCGCCTAGCTCTTCGGCCCCCGATGGAGAGGCCTCCCCGCTGTGACAGCTGCGCCCTCGGAGGCCCCCATCTGGATTCCTGGCTCTGCGGCGAGGGCGGGGCGCCCCCGCGGGATCTCGGTCGGGCGAGTGCTGCTCGGCTCGATCGAATTGCAGCTTGCCCACCGAATGCTCGCGATCCGGATGCCTGGATCCGCGAGCCGTGGCAAGGGCGAGCCAGAGGCTTCAAGATTGTCAGTGGGTTGTTCTCCACGGCTGGGGATCTTCCCCTCATGCAGCACGCCTCAGTCGAGCGTCGTAGATTGGCGAGGCTTCACGCAGCGGCCAGTCGCTCGCGCGAACTGGGGTCGGCAGCCAGAGATCGACGAGAGCCCGACCTCGCGGCGGCGCGACCTTCAGGAGCATGGGGGCAGTGGTTTGGCCTGCAGCCGGCCCCTCTTTACTCTGGAGTAGTTTCTCTCAGGCGGGTCAGTCTGACTCCCTCTCTTCTGGCCTGACGCAGAGCATTCAGGGCGCGAGCTGTCTGCCTGGAGCCTAGGAGCTTCACCTCGTGTGCTTGCAGCGAGCCGCTCGGCAGGAGTCGGCCCAGATCTGGAGGGTCTAGGCTCAGGCGGCAGCCAGTCAGCGGGGCGGCTATGCCGCCTACAGGCGTGTGCGCGGCTTCCAGGCAGCCGGGCGGCGGGGTCTCAGGCTCTCGAAGTCTCTCTTCAGCAGCGGGGAGCCTCGTGGGTTTGTTCGGCAGGGCCGAGTGATTTAGGAACGCCCAGCATATAGGAACCGTCCAGATCCTGTTGAGCGGCAGTCGCCATGCGTCGGGGCGCTTCCTTTTGGTTCAGGAGGGCAGGCAGGTGCGTGAACCGCTAGCGCCGCTGCCGTCGCTGACGCTCGATGCCGCGGATGCCGCGATGGCTTGTTGCTTCGTTTTGGCTTGGCCCAGCCTGGACAGGATGCACCCCCGGCGGGCCTCGTGGCCGCCAGTTAGTCATAAGCCAGCGGTCGCCGGCCCGTTGGTCGCGGCCGGTTGGGGGGGAGGGGGGGGTGGGGGGGCTGGGAGTTGTGCGCTCTGGAGGCTGTGGGTGCACGCGCAACCTGTTTGGTCGCGTGCACGATGTCTTGTTGCAGCGCTTTGCAAGGCCCAAGAGATTCTCTGCAGCCAGTGGATTGTCAGATCGCTCCAGGTGCCCGACCTAAGCCTGGAGGCCCTGTCCACGTACACTCGGCCTCTGATATGCGGACCCTGCGGCCCAGGTCGGGGGAGCGTAAGACCCGGGTTTGCCGGGACTCGGGTTCGCCATCGTTTTTTGACGACCGCGCCTCGGATTTTGACGAGGAGGAGTTTCGTGGGATGTCTGCAGCGGGAGGCCTCGTCAAAATGCAGGCTCGGCCTCGGCACTTTTTTGACGACCTCGTCGGGGATTTCCGAGTCCCCCGTACCCGGGTCTTACGTCTCCCCGACAGGTGCCCGACCTAAGCCTGGAGGCCCTGTTCACGTACACTCGGCCTCGGATATGCGGACCCTGCGGCCCAGGGCTCGGAGGGAGCTCCTTTCGGGTCGGGCGAAAGGGGGGGATTGGGAAAGGGGGGGTTACGAAATTTGCTGCATGCAGCTGGTCTCGGCCCCACCGAGGGGCCCATTCCTCGATACATGGGCGCCTCCCGGCGCCGGGAGGCGCCGGGAAAAGCAGCTACGTGAGCTGATTCTCAAACCCCCCCTTTGCTATCCCCCCCTTTCGCCCGGCCTCTGATATGCGGACACTGCGGCCCAGGGCTCGGAAGAGGAGGAGGAGGAGCGAGGAGGAGCGAGGAGGAGGAGGAGGAGGAGGAGGAGGAGGAGGAGGAGGAGGAGGAGGAGGAGGAGGAGGAGGAGGAGGTGGCGGAGGGAGCGATCGGCTCGGCGACGCGTCCGGCCCGAGCGCAGCGCCTTGTGAGAAGTTCGGAGCGCCGCCGCGCCGGGGGGCCGCGCCTGCCATCTCTCGGGCTTTCCGAGCAGCCAGAGGCCGTCGCCCGGGTGGAGAGGGAGGAGGAAGAGGAGGAGGAGGAGAAGAGCGAGGAGGAGGAGGAGGAGGAGGACGAGAGCGAGGCGCATCCTGGCGCGGCCGGCTCGATCTGGATCCGCCTCCGTGCCAGCGCGGCCCCATCCGACGCACTCTCCGATCCCCTCCGGTTTGCCGATTCGATGCCGACCGCGGGTGTGCCCGGCAGGAGAGGGGCGCGTATCGAGGAGCGGCCCGCGCATGCCGACTGTCCTCGGCATGCCCAGAATCAAGGGAGGAAATCACCGCCCACCAAACCACCCCCAACCCAACCCGAAGGCCTCGATTTATCCTCGATTTCCAGTGGGGGGGGGGGTCGGGGAGCGTCGAAAAAACACATGGAACCCGTACCCCCCCCCCCCCACCCGAAATTCGGGTCAGATTCGGGTTGTCGGGTTGGGTTGGGGTGGTTTGGTAGGTAGTCACAGAGGCCGTCGCCTTCGGTGGTCAGGACGGGCTGCCAAGTATTGCCAGACCGACGTGTGTTTTGCACGATGTTGCTGCCTGTCGGATGTTGGAGTCAGAGGCTGCGAGGTAGCATTTGTTTTGACGCCCCGATTGCTGTGGTCGATGTTGACCACGGGCTCTGCGAGTCAACGCCAGCTCTTCTTTTGAACAGCTGCCTCGAAAGGAGGCATGAGCTCGGCACTGCGTTTTCCGACGGGAGGGCACCTGTCCCACATGGCCAGTCCCAGTCTCAGCCTCTCTCCTCCCTCCTGGGTTGTATTTCTTGGCAGGCCTCCCGAAGTATTTTTTCTTGGGGGGCCTCCTGGGTTTTATCTCTTGGCAGCGTGGGCCCCCGGAGGCCTGCGCCCATTCCCAGGGGCTGTTTTTTCCTTCCGGGCAGTTTCTGTTATGGCCCCATGCCTTGTGAGTGCCGCAAGAACACGAACATGACACAAGTATCGCCGTCATTCAGAGCGTGAATTACCTACCCCGCTTTCGCTTCCAGGAACAACCATGGCATACCACGCGCCTCCTCGTCAAGCGGCCTAACCAGTACAGGCCGTAGTTTGGCATCGCTTGGTATATCTTGGAAGCGAGGGTGGTCAAAAGCGAGGTAGGTTTGTTCTCCCCCTAGTCATGTTGTTGTGCGGCGCGGGGAGGCCAGGGTTAGGATTTCGGGGGACGCAGTGGGGTCTCCAGCGGCTGATCAGGGCGATCCCTGGTGCCAGCGAGTCGCAGCTGCAAGAAAGCACCCCGGAGGCCAGAAAACTCATTCGAACCAGACCCAGACCCTCGACATCGACCCCCAGAGTTCTCGACCCCAGAGGTCTCGACTTATTTACCTGGGAAGTTGATTTACGGCCCAAGGGCCTAACAGGGCCCCCGGATGCTGAAGATTGCTATTCCCCCTGAGCTGCAAAAGGTGTGGCACGCCAGATTTTTTCCCCGGGGCGCATATCATCCCGAATCTGTTTTTTGCTGCGTTACCCCACATTTGGTAATAGAGCGCACAGTTTTTTTTGCCCCGCCAAAATGTCACAACTGCCCCAGTAATGGCCCACGAAGTCCCAGCTTATGGCCCCCGAGCGGCTTCGCGAATGGCCCGTTCATGGATTGGACCCACCCGTGATTTTCACCCGTCCATGGTCCACGAATGATATGCGAATGGCGGGCTAATCATATTCCTCTCGCGTTTACGCGATGACAGAGGCCACTCATGCATAATCAGGCTGTCACTAGCGAGCCGTTGGCCAGGTGCGAAGGTTCTGCGAGGCAGCGTCGCCGTCGCCGATAAGGAAGCCATTCGTGTGTATCCATGCCTTCATTAACGGGCCACTCGTCGAGTCCAAAATTAGTGTGGGGCGGGTCCCTTCGCAAGGGTCAGGGGCCGAGGGCTGGGTCCTTCTCCCCCGCCCTTCTCTTAGAGGTGCACCGGCTCTGCCAGGGCTCTGCGCCGGAGCGGCTGGACGGCGCGACCGTGCTGGGCTGCGACATGCGCGCCGCGCTGGTGCCTGCGACATTCCCGCGCGACACCCGCGAGTCCAGTCTGCCCTCCTTCATTTGCCCCCTCACCCCCCCATGTAGTAAGACTTTGCGTTGCGCACGGAGAGTTTCCCAAAGGTGGTCCCAGCTAGGGTCAACAGCCCCCCTGAGCAAAAGATAGCCCAAGATCCCCATGGCGGCACGAGAGTCTCTAGACGGCCTTGGGAAGCCCCAAGAGGTCCCGACACGGTCCATACATGCCACCAAGACGATTTCCGAAAACACAGGGCCTGAGAGCACCCGAGGAAGACCCAAGAGAGCGCCAAGGTGGCCCGAGAGAGCTCCACGAGGCCCGCGAGAAAACCCAAATTCTTTCATTCGTCGCGGTCGAAGCTGGTACGGAAAGGGTCGCGACGAAGGTTGGCAGAGGCTCTTTCTAATCTTGAACAGTGCTCGCTGTCGGTGTCACCGGCGAAATTTCAGACAAAAGGTCCCCTATCCGAATGCCCGCGATAATAAAGCATTCCACCCCCGAACCCATGAGTGTTCAGCATCCTGGGCCAAGGCAAAGTTGGTCAGGGGAGGGGGGAGGCCAGGCCGCACTGCACAAACGCAGGGGGAAGTATGAATCGAACTTACGGTATGATTGTGCTCAGTAGCTTACAATACATGCTGCACTCCACAACGAGCACCATGCCAATTACTACGACTACGGCGGCTACTTATACGACTACGGACACGACAACGACGATTTCTACTACTACTACTACTACTACTACTACTACGACTACTACTAATACTACTACTACTACTACCACTACCCACTACCACTTCTACTACTACTACGACGACTACTACTACTACTACTACTACTACTACGACTACTACTACTACTACTACTACCACTACTACCACTACTACTACTACTACTACTACTACTACTACTACTACTACTATTACTACTACTACTACTACTACTACTACTACTACTACTACTATCACTACTACTACGGCTACGCTTCACTACTACTGTTACTACTACTACTACTACTACTACTACTACTACATCTACTACGACTGTTACCAACACTTGTGTTTCTAATACTTTGCGCACCTCTACGACGATTACTACTATTTCTGCTATTGCGACTGCTTCTATTACTACTACTACTACTACTATTACTACTACTACTACTACGACTACTACTACTACTGCTACTACTTCCACTACTACTGCTACTACTACTACTACCACTTCTACTACTACTTCTACTACTACTACTACTACTACTACTCCTACTACTACTACTACTACTACTACTACTACTACTACTACTACTACTGCTATTAGTATTGCAACCGCACCTGCTACTGCGACCCGTACTACGGCTTTTAGTAGGACCACAAGAAGTACGACATCTACTACTGCTACTACTACGGCTTCTACGGCTACGACGAGTACTATTACGACGATTACAACATCCACTGCCACTACTGCTTCTACTACTACCACTACTACCACTTGCCGGCTGCGGCGGGGGGAGCGCCGAGGTGGGGAGACCATCGCCGGCATTGAGTTGCACCGAGAAGTCACACGCACCATGCCCATAGCGGGCTCGAAGACATGTGGGCTGGCTAGGGGGGAGGGGGAGGAGGAGGAGGAGGAGGAGGAGGAGGAGGAGGAGGAGGAGGAGGAGGAGGAGGACGGGTCGCCTAAGCCTTTCGGAGAAACCCCCCCGGGCCCACCCTGGAGCCCCCCAAAGGTGGCCATGCGGTCGGGGGCTTTTGCCTGGGCGGCGGCCCCCCCACGACACGCCAGACCCTGCGAGCGGGGAACGTGTCGCTTTGCCTCGAGGGGCAGGGGGGGCTGGGGAGTGGAGGCCGCGGAGATCATCGAGAGGGTGATCGTTGCAGGGCGAGGAGGATTTCTGATGGGGTCGGTCCCGAGGGAGCCCATCGAGAGAGAGCTTATGGCCTGGGTGAACAAGGTAGGAGAAGCTTGAGTACCAGTATGCGGCTGTAGCAACTGATTGATAAGGGGTGCGGTCTCTTCCGATGTCTTGACAGGCTACCGGGAGGGGGGATGGCGGTCGGTCGGAGCGGGGGCGGGGGGGAAGGAGAGGAGCTCCCTGAGCCTGTGGGCTGACCTCCTAGCGCGGGATGCGTGCCCGCAGGAGTGTCAGACGTGGCCAGTGCCTCTGCTGGGATGAGCGAAGGTGTCGCCTAATATCGAGTGAGCGTGGGGTCCGTAGAGACCCGCCTCAGAGCCCTAGTGCGAGGATCTTAGTTGCAGAGCACGTTCTCAGGATGTGAAGCAGTGAGGCAGACGCACCGTCAGGACTCCATGAGTCGTTCTAGTTCTTGTTATGCTCCTCCTCCTCATCATCCTCCATCTTCTCCTCTCCCTTCCCCTCCTCCGCCTCCTCCTCCCTCCTCACTTTCCTCCTCCTCCTCCTCCTGCTCCTCCTCCTCCTGCTCCTCCTCCTCCTACTCCTCCTCCTCCTCCTCTTCCTCCTCCTCCTCCTCCTCCTTCTCCTCCTCCTCCTCCTCCTCCCCCTCCATCTTCTCCTCCCCCTTCCCCTCCTCCACCACCTCCTCTTTCTCCTCCTCCTTCTCCTCCTCCTCCTCCTCCTCCTCGGGTCGCCTACGGCTCCGGGGGAAACCGTGCACGGGGCCCCCGAGAGGTGCAACTGCCCGACGGCCGCGCGGGCGACACGCTGTTGGGCCGCCTCCGCATCTGGGAACCCTCGGGGAGCTCCCGCGAGCAGGCCCTCGGGGGCTACCTGCGGTCGTCGGTCGCGGTTGTGGTCGTGGCACGCGCGGGAGACCCCGCGGCAGGGCGGGAGGCTTAACGGAGGAAACGCTACCGATATTGCTGCTCGTCCTGAAGATCCCTCGACGCCTCGGCTGGATTCGCTTCGAGCTCTGAGTCAGAACTTAACCCCGGAGAGGTCTGGGGAGTAGCTATATTGCGTCCTGAAGATCCCTCGTCGCCACGGCTGGATTCGCTTCGAATCATCTGGGAGAACGTACCCCGGGAGGGGTCCGCGGAGTAGGCGCATGAGCGCCTTTTCGTCCCCCCCGAGGCGAGGGAACTGCTGCGGCGCGTCCGGGGCGCCATGCGGCCGGGCACCGCGCTCGCGCTCGCCGCCTCGCAGGCGGACCTGGTGTCCCCGCGGGACTCCGCGGGCGCCGCCGCGGTCGCGGGCCTGAGGGCGGCGGCGGGCGCGGCAGGGGCGGATTTCGCGCTGTGCAGCGCCGTCACCGGCGAGGGCGTGGAGGGGCTCTTCGCCGCCGCGCTGGCGGCCTGCCGGGAGCGCGGCGCCCTGGCGGCCTGCCGGGGCCGCCCCGTGCTGAGCTGCGAGGCGGGGCAGCTGAGCAACAGCGAGCTGCTGCGGGCCCTCCTCCTGCACCGCAGGTGATGCCGGCGTGGGCGAGGGGCCCTTCAGGGGGAACGTTAGGGGGGGGAATCGGCTCCGTGGGAGGCAGCTCTCCACCACCACCGCGTCTGGCCAGGGCAGTGCTAGGCCTTGGCGTGGTGTGTACGCCCGCCCGGCCGGCGCCAGACCGGCCTTGGTACCAGAATGAACCCAGGCAGACACTGTGGTGGTGTATAGCTGCTTTCTGCGTGTAGGCTCAGGCGGGGTGCATCGACCTCCACTCGCCAATCGCCCATTGATCGCCGATAGGGGCCCGACAGCCCACCCCGCCCAGGAACGTTCGGGTTTGCAATCGGGGGCCGATCGCCGATCTACCGGCGATGTATCGCCGATTCCGGCTCGATGTGTCCCCCCCTGTGCTGGTCCCACTCTACCGTTGCCCCTCAGCCACGCGCCCCCCCGTGAACGGGTTGTCAGGGGCAGTGTGAGTCGGGTGTTCGTGAGCGAGGGGGCAAGAGCCCCAGGATTCGTTTCTGGGCCCGTTCGGCGGTTGAGTCTTATCGTCCGCCGAAGGGACGCATGATCGAGCCCATTCGGCGGCCGAAAGGGCTCGATTCTATCGACCCTGTTGGAACTGATCCCGCTCGGCTGCCCACGATGCGCCGAACGGGCTTAGAATGGAACCGTGGGGAAACGAGGGGTGCAGAAGCATGCGCCTCTCGTGCGCCATGGCCACAAGCATCGAGGCTGGCGGCTGTCCTTTCCTCGCTGCGCCTTCGCTTGCCGCTCGAAAAATCAAGGCGCGTGCTGCTGTGGGGCGCTCCTCGGCCGCCGGTGGTCGCCGTCGGGTGCTGGGCGCAGCCTCCGTTTGCGTACTCATTCTCTTTACCCGCCTCCTCCCCTGCTCTTGTGGGGCGCATGAAGAAGAGAAGGAGGCGGAGGAGGAGGAGAAGGAGGAGGAGGAGGAGGAGGAGGAGAAGCAGACCTACAAACTCCGCCGCCTGCTCACAGGGCCCACTCACTCGCCGCCAATCCACGCCCAGCTCACGACACCACATCTGCATGCCGCCTCAAGCCTGCCGCCTCCCTGAGGTCGGGGACCCTGCAGCCCCTCGGCCACCGCGTGGGGAGCGCGGTCCGAGACTTGGCGGGGCCCAGAACCACACCCACGGCCCGTCGGCAGAGGGCCCGCACCCTAGAGCCCCCCCGCCTGCGCAGCAGGTCGGAGTGACCCCGGCCCCACACCCTTAATTCACCCCCGGCGAGGCACGGCCGGGGGGCCGCCTGCAGTGGGACCGTACGGCAGAGAATCGGGCCGGGCGAAAGGGGGGGATTGGGAAAGGGGGGTTACGAAATTTGCTGCATGCAGCCGGTTTCGGCCTCGCCGAGGGGCCCCTTCCTCGACACATGGCCGCCTCCGGCGCCGGGAGGCGCCGGGAGAATCAGCCACGTGAGCTGATTCTCAAACCCCCCCTTTGCTATCCCCCCCCTTTCGCCCGACCCGAAGTGGGACCGTACGGCAGAGAAGGGTCGAGGCCCGCGGGCCAAGACCGCTCTCCCTGGGACCCGCCCGGGGAGTGCGCGTGCAGGGACCACGGGGCACGGCGCCCTGCCTGCCGCAGCGCAGCCCCCACGCAAAAGGAAAGGCCACGACTCTTTGCGGGCTTCGGTTCCCCTGGGGTGCCTCGCCGCGCCGCCCTCGCGCCGAGGCACGCCTCCAGGGGCAAGGAGGAGGAGAAGGAGGAGGAGGAGGAAGAGATAGAAAACCAAGAGGAGGAGGAGGGGGAGGAGGAGGAGGAGGAGGAGGAGGAGGAGGAGGAAGAGGAAGAGGAAAAGGAAGAAAACCAGGAGGAGGAGGAGGAGGAGGAGAATCTAGCCACCTCGCCTCTCTTCAACACGCCATAGTTGCATCGGGTGCACAACATCCGTGCTAAGCTACGCGGGCTCAGCCCGAGTCGGAGATAGCGCTCTTGGATGGGATCGCCCACCGCCTGCGCCGGGCTCGGCGAAGAGCGCTCAGTAGCACCAACTCGCGCACCAAATAGCGCCCCATAGCGCCGAATAGTGTTCAAACGGCGCGCGCCGAATAGCGCCGATATGGCTCCCAAAAGCTCCCGATGGCGCCATGTGAGGGAGATGCATTGCGTGCGCTTTGCTCGCTATTGGGTGCCATGAGGACAACTAAAAGCTTCCGTGAGTTGCTTTCTAACGGGAGGCCCCTCCCCGACGTCTGTACATGTCCCCCTACACCTCGGCGTCGGCATGACCCTCCTTCTTTGGGTCCGCTTGCGCGTCCCACAGGAAGCAGCGCCGCACACTACGCAGTGCACGCCATTCCTTGCCGTTCTGTCGACGTGCCTATTGCCACACAATCCGGGACTCGCCAACTACCATACTTTGCTGCTCAGGCTCCTCTTTGACGGAATTAACTGGGCATCAGGTTATCCTATTATGTTTGCGAGCCGTCCGACACTGCCGCGTTTATCTCCGGCGTCGCGCGTCCATGGTCCATGGTCTCGTCGCCATTGCTCGATAGTCAGCGGCTCGGGAGCATCCTCTGGCCTGCTCGAGTAACTCAGGGGCAGCTACGGACGAACGGGATGTAATCGGGATTCGCAGGGTTCCTGTCAACGACACTCCAGAATTATCACCACACATGTCGAAATTTCCAAACTACGAACTTCAAAGGCGTTAAGCGAGGGGAACGTCGAAGGATTATGGTTTCTTTCCTTCTCCTCTTCCATCTCCGCATGGTCGGATGGACATGCCCGATGGACATGCCCTGTAGTCGGAGGATTGTGTTTGAGAGCATAACGAAGAATAGCCGCAGAAATTGCGAAGCCGTTGGATTTGGGGTCGTACCAGAGGCGCCCCGGAGTTTCTTAGAGGGACCCCCGCAGGATCTCCGAGGGAGATGCGGGGGGTCAGGACAGGCTGATCTATTAGAGACCAGGCCTCTACACGGCGCCAGCCAGCGAGCGCAGGGGCATCCTCATTGGGGCCGCCTTTGCGGACTCCTCGTCCTCTTCCTCCTCCTCCTCCTCCTCCTCCTCCGCCTCCTCCTCCGCCTCCTCCTCCTCCTCCCCCTGCCTTCCGTTGCATGTTCGGGGGTCCTTGCTTGTCAGACTGCGCTCATTTTCGTTTCCCCGGCGCGGTTCCGACGCAGATCCGATTTGAATTCGCGGTGCATAGGACACGGGTAGCACGGATAGTTTGCGCGGTGGGTCAGACGAGGACCCCCCACGATACCCATCTTTCCTTCGTTCTGCGCTCTCCTGTTGTTGCTTGTGGGCATCTGGATCCTGCTCCTCGCCCCCCCTTAGGCACTGGCGCAAGGGAGAAACCACGCTCGCCGCGCCATCCTCCTGACTCCGTGCAAGCTCATTCGCCCTCAGCCGGGCGACGAGATCCAGAGACAAATCCACCGCTCGGTGACCCTCAGGACGTGTGTCAGCCCAATGTGTGCGTACCCCGTTCGACCCAGTGAAGGGCCTCAGTGGCCAAACACACACGCTGGCGCTCACACTAAGTCGGGCATGTCCCCCTACAGGGGGATTTTCGACGAAAGATGAAAAATACCCTCGGAATAGTCAAACAATAGTCCAAAAATAGTCTGGGGACTATTTTTTGAGTAGTGTTTGACCTTTTGGGGGCATTTTTGGGGGTATTATGATTTTTCGTCGTCGGCACGCCCGACATAACGCTAACACGCGTTCTGAGGACCATCGGGCTGCCCCCAGCCAGGCCCATCCTTGGGCCCGGGCGCGGTGCACAGGCCAGCGGCCGCCTTCATTCCAAGCCCGGGGCGCACGCGCCGCTCCCGTCGTCCTAGGATGGGCCTGGCCAGGGGCGGTCGTCGTCGTCCTCCTCCTCCTCCACCACCACCTCCCTCCTCCTCCTCCTCCTCCTCCTCCTCCTCCTCCTCCGCCTCCTCCTTCTCCTCCCCCTCCGCCTCCTTCTCCTCCTCCTCCTCCTCCTCCTCCTGCTCTTCCTCCTCTCCTCCTCCTCCTCCTCCTCCAACTCCTCCCCTCCTTCTCCCCTCCTCCTCCTCCACCTCCTTCTCCTCCCCCTCTCCTCCTCCTCCTCCTCCTCCTCCTCCTCCTCTTTCTCCTCATCCCCCCTCATCCCCTTCCTCCTCCTCCTCCTCCTCCTCTCCTCTCCTCCTCCTCCTCCTCCGCCTCCTCCTCCTCCTTCTCCTTCTCCTCCTCCTCCTCCTCCTCCTCCTCCTCTTCCTTCTCCGCCTCATCTTCCGGGTCCGACTGCGCGGACGTTCGCGCGTTAGTTACCCGCGTAAGGTCGCGCGTGAGCGCCCTCGTCCAGTGGAGCGTGACGCGTCCGCGTCCCGCGCAAGCCACCGCGTAGGGTCGCCATGCCATCTTGCGTAAGGCCCATCTCTTGCCGTCGGGGCCACCGCGCGGTTTCGGGACTGGGGTCGTTCTCCGATGGTGTCTCGGACGACGTGGCCCTCCAAGGCCCCCCCAAGCCGTGTGGCGACGGACCGATCGGTGAGGCCTTTGGGGAGCTTTCGAGGCCACCACGCGGCCCGCTTCTCACGCGGTGGGGCCCCCCGCAGGCGTGCGCAGACCTCGTCGCCCGACTGGGGCCCTTGGCATCGCTCGGACGGGTGCGTTTTTTCCTCGGCCAGGACCATCGAGGAGCATTCTTGATCACTTGGCGAAAACTACGCACGAAACCGAAAAAACAGGGAATGGACGTCCGAGCGATGGCCAGGGCCGTCCCAGACTCTCCGGCCGCTCCGCGCGGGATGTCCGCGGCGCTCCGCTGTGCCTGCTGGGCCCTCTCCGCCGCCGCCCTGGCGGGCCCCGCGGCCGCGGGGCCTTCCGCGCGCCTGCCCCTCCTGGCCGCCGGGCGCGCCCCCGCGGGCAACCGCAGCGAGGCGCGGGCCCCGGGGCCCCGCAGCGGGCTTCATGGAGTACACGTGTAAGGAGTGCCCCCCTCGCCGGAGTGACCTGTGGTGCGGGCCCACTGTCGGGCCGGACGAAAGGGGGGTCTGGGAAAGGGGGGGGTACGAAATCTGCTGCGGGCAGCTGATTTCGGCCCCGCCGAGGGGCTCATTCCTCGATACATGGGCGCCTCCGGCGCCGGGAGGCGCCGGGAAAATCAGCTACGTGAGCTGATTCTCAAACCCCCCCTTTGCTATCCCCCTCCTTTCGCCCGACCCGAGAATGCGAGGCGGCAGTGGCGTCTTGCGCGCTCGGGTCTGATGCCCCCACCCCCGCGGCCCGCGGAGAGCCGCGCACCCAAGAGGCCACTCTTTCCCAGGGTCGCTCCCGCGTGCATGGCCGACCCAGGGGTTCCCTCCGGAGCCCGTGCGGCGTCCTGGCCAGCCCGGCCCCGCCGAAGGGGGCAGCCGAAGGGGCTCTCATGCTCCAGCAGCCCAGACTGGAATTCTAGAGAGCCCGCTCGGCCGCCGAGTGGTCGGGTCGCGAGGCCTCGGCGGCCGAGTGGGCTCCGACGCCGAGCGGGCTCAGGGGAGGGAGCCCCTGGGGTAGGCACGGGCTCCTGGCCCCGCCGCGGCCCCCGCGGAGGGTGCCGCCCTGGCCGCCCTGCTGCGGGATGCGGAGGAGGACTTCGGCTGCGCACAGGGGTGCCCCCCCCCGCCAGACCCAGCTGGGCGTACAGTCAAAAACCCTACTAAGGACGCGCGATTTTGCTCAGGGTACCCTTGCGTCCTTGCTCTTCCTTGCTCTTGCGTCCTTGAGGTTTTCGTCGTCCACCGCCCCAGAAATCCCAACTTCGGCTTCCAAGGGTCTTGCGTCCTTACCGCGCGTCCTTATTAGGGTTTTTGACTGTACACCGGCAGCTTCGCGTCCAGGAGTGACGCCTCGAGCGCCGCGATCTCGGCCGACTCCTCGTCCTCCCCAGACATCGGGCGTCTCGAGCACATCGAGACGGAGGTGTTTCGCAGTTGTTGGCCTCTCGGGGCCCTCGCCGGGCCTCGGCACCGTCAAAAAACGACTCGGGATAAGAAACCGGTCCCGGGCCCAGACATTCGACGTCCTGATTTTTGTCAGGACGGCGTCCCCAGAATTCCAGACCCTTTTCCCGGGGCCAGTTTTTCACCCTGAGTCGTTGTTTGACGGTCCCGAGGCCCAGCGTGGGCCTCCCCCGAGGCCGAACACGGCCAGAGACCTCACGTCCTGATTCTCGAACGACGCGATCGTGTCTGGGGAGAGCGGGCCCTCTGGTGCGCGGCGTGGTGTTCTCGGGCGCTTCCGTCGGTTCCCGCCTCGGGGCGCGTGCCAGCAGCTGCGCCTCGCCGAGAGGCGAGAAGGGGCGCGAGCCCGGGGATGCCCGAGCGGCCGGCAGAGGCCCGAGCTGTGGCCCGAAAGCCATGGCGTGCGCGCGGCCTTGTTGTCGGCGTGGCCGTTCCCAGACATCGGGCGCCTCGAACAAATCGAGACGAAGGTTTTTCCTATCTTCTGGCCTCTCGGGGCCCTCGCCGGGCCTCGGCACCGTCAAGGAACGACTCGGGGTGCAAAACCCGTCCCGGGGAAGTGGTCGGGAGGTCGGGGGCCCGTGTCCCAAAAAAGTATGGTCGTCGGATATCCCGGTTGGTGCGCGGCTCTCTTTCGGGGGTTGTGGGACCCAGACATCCGACGTCTCGATTTTTTCGAGACACGGGCTCCCGACCTCCCGACCCTTTCCCCGGGACCCATTCTTCATCCCGGGTCGTTTTTGGACGGTCCCGAGGCCCGGCGTCGGCCCCGAGAAGCCAAAAAATCTGCGAAACACCCCCGTCTCGATTTTTTCGAGACGCCCGGTGTCTTCAGGAGGGAAAGAGACACACAGACACAATTCATCGTCGACTCCCCGGAAAATATGGGACAAGATGGGAAGTGGGGGGGAAGACATAAGCCTAGGAAATATGGGAAAAGATTGGGAACCCTGTTCTTTGTGCCTATCTATTTGTGTGTCCCAGGGCCCCTTCATGTTCGTCAGTCAGCATCGGTCGATGACGGCGCGCGCAGAGCGGTTGGCCTTCAGGAGAAGCCTGGAGGGCTTCTAAGCGGGCAGGGAACTTGTGAGGCACCTTCCCAAGCGCCCTCTTGGCTCTTCGTCAACTACGGCATGTTCGTGCTGTGCCTATTTACTTGTGTGTCCCAGGGCCCCTTCGTGTCTGGGGACCTGCCCCGCACCCCGGGCCCCCGGGGCCGCGCGCGCGCGGCCCGACGAGGAGGCGGAGGCCATGGGCGGCCCGCGGCTCCAGACCGGCGCGCGCCTGGTCTCGAAGCAGGCCGCGGCCGCGCCGGAGGACCTAGGCATCCAACGACCTGGATCTGCTCGAGCCGCGTCAGATGAGGAAAACCCAGACATCGGTCGTCTCGAAAAAATCGGGGCGGAGGTTTTTCGCAGTTTTTGGCCTCTCGGGGCCCTGGCAGGGCCTCGGGACCCTCAAATAAAGACTCGGGGTGAAAAACCGGTCCCGGGGAAGTGGTCGGGAGGTCGGAGGCCCGTGTCTTGAACAAATCGAGACGTCGGATGTCTGGGAAGGTACCCATACACCTCTACCCTTCCCTCGTTTTCCCTTTGTTGGGCCTCCTCGGATGCCCTCGTCGCCACCGCTGGATTCGCTTCGAAATTCTGGTCAGAACGCACCCCGGGAGAGGTCCGGGGTGTAGCGGTATCGGTACGTTTGGGTTTCCCCATCACGGGCCCCCGACCTCCCGACCACTTCCCCGGGACCGGTTTCTCATCCCGAGTCGTTTTTTGAGCCCTGTGAGGGCCCCGAGAGGCCAACCACTGCGAAACACCTCCGTCTCAATTGTGCTCGAGACGCCCGATGTCTGGGGAGGACGAGGAGGCGGCCGAGATCGCGGCGCTCGAGGCGTCACTCCTGGACGCGAAGTTGCCGGTGTACGCCCAGAGGCCGCCGAGGGCGGCCGCAGCGGCGAGCCGGGCACCGGCGCGGGAGGGCGAGGCGGTCGCGGCGCTCGAGGCGACGCTGCTCGACGCGAAGCTTCCAGTGTACCTGGTGCACGCGGCCATGCCCGTGCTTGCGGTGTGATGCGTCGTCGGTGTCGGCGGCTGCCTCTTCGGCAGCCTGGTGTAAGCCGGAGGGTCTCTCGGGTCGGCCGCCGAGGAGGGGGGGACAAATGCAGGACGCTGAGCTCAAACAGGGGCCATTTGGGGCGCAGTAGGGTCTCTGAGCTCCGGGCTGTTCTTTAGGTCCAGGTCGGGGAGCTCATTCGTGACCGAGGCTCGCCGTGGCCAGAGAAGCCCCTTCGCACCTGAATTGATTGGCATTTCTTCTACCTGCGGCCTCGGGACCCAGACCCCCGACGTCGTGATTTGTTTCATGACGCGACCCCCAGAGGTCCGGACCCATTTCCCGGGACCGGCTTTTCATCCTGAGTCGTTCGGTCCTGAGGGCCGGTGAGGGTCCCCAGAGGCCGAGAATAGCGAAAAACTTCGCGTCGTGAATTTTTCATGGCTCGAGGGGGTCTGTGGGGAGAGGCCTCCCGGTGCCATGTCGTGGGCAGGCGCCGTCCCTCCCATTCGCTCCGCGGGCCCCCCTTCCGGACCTCGGCCGGGCGCCCCGTGCCACGTGCTGGCCCCTCCCCCTGCAGGCTGCCGGTCGAGCCGTCCTCCCGCTCTCCAGTCTGGACGCCCGAAATGGGCACGGAAAGAAGCGGTACGATGCCCAACAGCAGTTCCTAACATGATTCGCTGTCCACGCCGCCGCGGCCTGTGTCCCTTCGAGGCAGAAGGCCGCCTGCCCAGCAGCGGCCGCTGTTCGTTTGGGACAGCATTTGTTGTTGGGCATTGTACCCATGCTTTCCGTACCAATTCACGGCGTCCAAATCCCGCGCGGGCGCTCCGCAGGGGGCGGGTTCCCTCAGAGGCCCGCCGGGGCGCCCGCCACACGTGCATCTCGGGGGTGGACAGACCTCCTGCCCTGACACGTCGATTAAGGAATTGGCCGTTTTCGGTTCGCGAGAGGGCGTCGCGGCCGTCATCTTTGCGGGTCCAGGTCCGTCGGTTTCGGTCCCAGGCCGTCTTCACTAAGGGGAGGTCTACTAAAGGGAGGTTTGTCCACCGCCGAACATCGGCCATCGAGCTCCTCCGTAGACAGGTGCGGGCCACAAGGGCCTCGGCCGCCACATTCTTATGCTTGCGTATCTCGGAGAAGAAAGCAGCGACAGACACATGAACTTTCGGAGGTCCGCGCGGGAGACATCGGATCGGCGCCAGGGTCAGGAGGGGAGAAAAAACACAGGCACAATTAATCGTCGATTCCCAAGAAAATATTGGAAAATATGGAAGGTGGGGGGGAATACAAAAATCCAGAAAAAAAGTGTGTATTCATTTGTGTGTCCTTGGGCCCCTTCACAGACACCCTTGTCGGTGCCTCGGGCACCGCCCCTCGCGGGCTCTGCGCGCCAGGGGAGATGGTCCAGCGCCGATCCAAGAAATCCGCGCGGACCTCCGAGCGTTTGTGCTCATGCGGTTCTTTCTTCTCCTTGGTGCATCATGGGGAGGCCCCGTCTGTCCAAACCGCTGTCTCTTCCTATGTCCGACGCGGGCTCGACGCAGACTCGCAGTGGACTCGGTGTGGGCTCGACGCGGACTCGACGTGAGCTCGACGCCAGTCCGCTCTCGGACTCGGCGCGGACAGCGACGCGATTGGGCAGGGCTCCCCCGGAGATGCAAGATGACATACTCGTGCGACGGGGACAGAAGCGCCCCGCAAAAGGGCTCGGCACATGACATGAGACGCTGCGCCTGTTGCGTGCTTTGGGGGTCGTGTGGGATTATCATTTTTGGCTCATGTTCATGTTGTGTTTCCTGCTCCTCCTCCTCCTCCTCCTCCTCCTCCTCCTCCTCCTCGTCCTCTTCGTCCTGCTCCTCATCCTTCTTCTACTGCTTTACCTGCACAGTTTCCCCCATGCTCCTCCAGTTGCGCCCATCCTGCCCCGCCTCCTTCCCCCCGCTCCTTCTTGAGCCTTTCCCAGCATGCACCCCTGACAACCTGCCAGGATCCCTCCCCCCCTCCCAGTGTTCATTTTGATCGATCCGATTCGGCATCGATCCCGGCCAGCTCGATCCGCTTCTATTCTGACGCTCCGACGACCTCATGCGGTGCGGCCCGATGTTTGCATGTTGTAGTTGTGCATCCTGGCGCGGCCGATCCGATTCGCTTTCGACTCCAAAACGATGGCAGCCCGATTCGATGCATGCTCCGACCCAATCCGACTCCGCGGTTCGAGGTGGTGGAGGAGGAGGAGGAAGAGGAGGAGGAGGAGGAGGAGGAGGAGGAGGAGGAGAAGGTGGAGGAGGAGGAGGGGGAGGAGGAGGAGGAGGAGGAGGAGGAGGAGGAGGGAGGAGGAGGAGGAGGGGAGGAGGAGAGAGGAGGAGAGAGAGGAGGAGGAGGAGGAGGAGGAGGAAGGAGGAGGAGGAGGAGGGGAGGAGGAGGAGGAGGAGAGGAGGAGGAGGAGGAGGAGGAGGAGGAGGAGGAGGAGGAGGAGGTGTAGGAGAGGGTGTAGGAGGGAGGAGAGAGGAGGAGGAGGGTTCCTCGCCTCGCCACGCCGCCCGCCGCCCGCGCAGGCCCGGGGCGCCGCTGGCGGCGGGGGGCGCCCCGCTCGCGCGTCCGGCGGGGCCCGGGCCGCTGCCTGAGAGCCAGCTGGTCCCCGACCGCCTCTCCGCTTGTCGGGCCGGACGAAAGGGGGGGATTGGGAAAGGGGGGGTTACGAAATTTGCTGCATGCAGCTGGTTTCGGCCACGGCGAGGGGCCCATTCCTCGATACATAGCCGCCTCCGTCGCCGGGAGGCGCCGGGAAAATCAGCTACGTGAGCTGATTCTCAGACCCCCCCTTTGGTATCCCCCCCTTTCGCCCGACCCGAGCCTGGGGATCGACCAGTTGCGAAGCGTCACGGCTACCCCATAGACTCACCAACATATGTTCTAAGAGCCTTCTTTGGTCTGCAACGAGACGTTCCTATAGAACATGTCTGGCTGAGACTGTCTTGTTTCAGCACTTCGGGTCTATGCCGTAAAAACATTTTTTGGTTCGGAGAACATGTCGTGGCAGGCCTGTATGATTGCCGGGACGGTCGGTCCCTGCTCAAGGGGAGGGGGGCGGGGCCTCAGATCATGGCGTCGCAGTGGTGATTCGAGCCGGGCGTTTCCGCTATGATTTTTTTTTCTCGGGCCCCGGGAGCCTCGCAGATCGATGCGGCTCGAAGACGGGCGCAGGGAGACGGGGTCTAGGGCTCCGGGCGCCAGTGCACTTTTGTTCGCTGCGTCGGGTCTCAGCGGGGCTCAAAAGATGTTCGTTTTGGGGGACCTCCTTGGGACCCACTGTTCGGTTCTAGTTCGGTTCTAGAGACTCCAGTTTGACGCTGGTCCGACTCCAGTTCGACTCAAGTTCAACTCAAGTTCGCCTCGAGTCCACGGACGTTGAATGCAGTGTCGACGAACGAGTGGAGCGAGTGGCCCCAGAAAGGGGTCCAGAATGAACCGTACTCATGTTGGCTCATACCATTTTGACGCAAGTCATTGTGGCAAGTCGTCAGGCATAAGAAACAGTTGGTTTGCGCCTATAGCTGCCAAGCCCCTGTTACTCCGCCGTTGCCGCAATGAACGTCATGGTGCTTGCAGGAGCGTTCGCCATCCTGCTCGTCGGCCGCGGCTGCATCGCCGCCGACGACCTAGCCAAAACCTTGGAGGAACGCTGCCTGATGGAGGGCGATGTGCACAATTGCCACGCCACGAACGAGGCCGACGGCGTGGGGCTACTCCAGTCAAGACGGGCGTCGGGCCCCAGCGAACCGCAAATCGCGAACATTCTGAAGGACGAGACGACGGACCACAAACATTATGAGGAGGCGATAGTGGATCATATACCGATGGATGTCCAGAACCTCAACTCTACCATGCTTTGCGGGCGGTGGTCGTTGTCGCAGATATAGGGTGAGTTGCGATGTGCTTGTATGTTGCATATATGTTGCATATGAGCCGGTCGCACGTTGTTGTAACATTTGTTATGCATCTATAAGTGTCGGCATGGCTATACAGGTTTGCTAAACGTACACACGTTTGCAACGCAGCTTGTTACATCCTACTTGAACGTCTCAACAAAAAATGCAATTTTATGAGCGCAGTTAGACCCCCACTTCTACTTAGGAATTCGAGCCGCTTCGCGTATCCCCACCCGTACGACCCGTTCTCTGGAATCGTCCTTGGAGCCGCAGATCAAAAAATATCCCCACCCGTACCGTACCGTGACCCGGACCGTGGCGCATTCTTTGCGAATTAGCCACGTACCGTGACCCGGACGCCGCTTCCGCTCCCTGTCCGTTGCCTCGGAGCCGCCGACGCAAAAAAGTATCCCCACCAACCCATCCAGAAACGATGCCCAGGCGAGTTGAGAGGTGATCAGGGAAGTGCGGGAGCAAAGAGAGGGACGGCCGAACCGTGTGAAGGAGAGAGGGTGCGAAGGAGAAAATTGGATGGATGGATGAGGGAGTAGGGAGAAGGAGGATGAATAGGATGAGGAGGAGGAGGAGGAGGAGGAGGAGGAGGAGGAGGAGGAGGATGAGGAGAAGGAGGAGGCGGAGGGGGAGGAGGAATATGGGCCATGGGAAAGGATAGGAGGTGGAAGGAGGACGATGAGAGCAAGCAAAAGGGCCAAAGGTCTCTTGGATGTTTCTCGGAGCCTCTTGGGGTATCTCTTGGGCGTCTTGGGACGTCTTTGGGGTCTCTTGGCGGTCGTGGGGGGCCTCGGGGGGGCCTCTTGGGGCCGCTTGGGATCCTTTTGGGGGCCTCCTGGGGGCCTCCGAGGGCCTCTTGGGGCTATCATCTTGGGGCCATCTTGGGACCTCTTGGGGCCTCCTGGGCGCTTCTTGGGGCCATCTTGGAGGACATCGATCAAAGAAGGGGATGGTCACAATTCGTGTCCCCCCCCCCCCCAAGAGGCCAAAACGGGGCCAACACCTGAGTAAAACCAATGAGTTTGGCTTTCTCGCCGAGGTCGTTTTGGACGCTCTGACACCTCGCTGAATCCC